GTACATTGATAAATCGTTAAGTTTTACATGACCTATTTTTCTAAGAAAGTTCGGATGATTTTGGACAGTTTTACATTATTGTTTACATGGTAAGATAGAATAACAAGTACTGTTTTCAAGAGTAATGAATGGGAAAATGTTCCCTGGCATTATAAAATTATAAAAGAATAGAAAAAAAATAGTTCTTAAAAAAAATGAAGTTCTAGACTGGAAAAGGCCTAGGATTTCCAAATCTTTAATAGTCTTTAAGATTTTTTTTTTTGTTAAATCCCTTTTCCTCCATTTTGACATCATGAGACAGTGACGTGGTTGTTTGTAAGTCAATTTACCTGTTTCCCTTTTCCCCCTGTGCTATAATAACGTCGTCTCGGAAAGCTTTCATGTATGCACAGTTTCGTATTACATCTGTCAAAACACCTGCAATGAAAGATAAAGTCAGGTATAATAACCTTCTCATAAGAAATAAACAATGTAATTCTTTGATGCGACAGAAGGAACTGTGTACAATTATGAAATGGTTGCGTGCAGTTGTTTTCCGTGTAGAAATATAAGGATGGCATGCACCTCCTTGAAAACAAGGAGCTAGTTTTGCAAGAAATGTACCTGTCTATAAACGTGTTTAATTATCAAGTGTTCTTATTTTCTCGTCCCCTTTCTCTTTCACTCACTTTACTAAAAATTGGTCAATATTTTACGAAACTTGAATCGGTACTATTTGAAAGAAAACCGAGGCGAAAATATTAGAGGCCCATGGGTCACATCGTTTACCGATGCAACGTCTCTCATTCTTTTAGAAAAAAAATTTTGAACATATGAAATCCATTTTTGTTGTCCTTACTTTCAAGCATATGGTTTTAATTATTTTGATTTTAGGCCTAAATGTCAAATATACTATTATTTGAGGCAAGTTTAGTGGAACTGAACCCAGTGATTCTGGTCCAAGATCATGAAGCAGTTTAGACTTAAGTTAAAATTTCAATAATCCATAAGATGAAAATATGTTAGAAACTGACACTTGAAAATTTCAATTAACAACAACAATGGGAGAAAAATTTGACAATTTAGAATCTATCGTGTTTTCTATGATAAAACCTTTAATATAATATACTAATTCTGACGTGAATCTAGAACTGTTTCATGATCCTGGGGGCCCAGAGAAAAAAAAATATAAAAAGTAAACAAACACCGTACAGAATATGAACAAAAAAGCTAACTCGGTGCCCAGGTTAGCTAAAAGAAAAAAATTGTTTTTCATCATATTTTCCTCTGCAGTCTGAAATTTTCAGATTTGTAATTTGATAATGAAAGATTTATAAACATTTCTTTGCCTGTGTATATCCATACATATAATTACTATGTTTTCCTTTATGTAAATTATAAATTATAAACAGAAAATCAATGTGAATGTTGATAGCTTTTTGTTATAAATATACAGGCTTCATTCAAATTAAGGAAAGCTATTGATTGAGAGATTAAAAATGAAACAAAAGTCTTTGTCCGAGCCACAATCCCTGTGGGTATATGAAAGACAGAAGGTTGGAGTAGAACGAACAGAATTTAAACGTGTATTCACAAGAAAATGGTGTTGAATCAACATCGTCAATAGTACTCTCTATTGTTGTAAATTTACTCGCTAGATTAAATTTAAACAACGTTTTATTGAGAATTATTGATACAAGAGGGAGGGCATTAGATGCAGTTAATATCTGAGAACCATCAAAATGTATACCCTATTCAACTTGATAATGTGTCCGACTGTGATGTCAAATATTGTGTAAAAATCAGTTGGTCTTGACCAACACTCAATTAACGTAAATGTCAAATTGCAAAATTTTATAGAAATAAAAACCGATAGAGATATTGGCATGTATGTTTCTGATAAATAGTCATAATTTGTCGTCTTTCTTCAATGAAATCTCAATTCTACTATTGAATACCTCCAAGAGCGCTCGGTTAATTCCTTCATTTTCTCAAAGAAGGTCACGCATATTCTGTAAAATATTGGCCTTTTAATCTTTTAAAGGATATATTCCAAAGACCAATTACACACAAAATCATAAGAGCCACGACGTAATTACGTTAATTGACTGTTCATTGCAGATGAAAATCTTCGATAAATGCGACTAGAGAGAGTCGGTGTTTTGAATAGCGTTTCTCTTTTTGACAGATTAATTCTTGATGTGTCAGAATTAATCCGGAAAATGTAAAAAGCTTTACAAAAAGTTGGAAACATTATACCTTCAGTAGATAACAATAACATTTATATTTGTAGATATGTAAAATATGCATATGGGCTTGAAATTTATCAAATGTTTTGTGCAAAATGAAATTAAAATTTGAATTTAAAATATTGTAGTACTAGCATTTATATTGAATATTTATGAATATTTTTCAAGTTTTGAATCATGCTTCTCTCTCTCTCTCTCCTATATAATTAATTTGTACTCACTTTTGTCCAGATCCTTAAATAAATCGCTCTTTTTCCGTAACCATGGTAGAACCAACTGAATTTCTGCATCTTTCCTCTCGCTTGGAGACTTAGAAATAATTTTAACAACTCTTTGTTGCATATGTGCCATTTTCACTCAGCGGATGACAAATTAGAGAGTATCTTTTAACTTTTTCATTAATAACGCCAGGTTACTCTGGGCCGTAAAAATTGCATAACGTTTTCTTTAAATTGAATAAACTCGTCCATTAAACTTTAGAGAAATCCTTGTGTTTAAATTGGTATGGGGTAAACACCATTAATTAAACAATCGCTCCACTTCACAATACACGCAACTTTCAGCTGTAATAAACGAAGTTCAGAAGAACAGACTACGTTTTACAACATTCTTCCTCTTCAATTGATGTACAAAAATTTCCTCTGTTAATAATGAAGTTCCTTAATTTCTGACGTCAGAATTTGTCAAACGCAAAAAACTGTACGTTTTCTGTTGGTTCGTTTTTTCATGTACTGTCTTTTTTTTTCTCCTGATACATACTACAGGAAGAAAAATTATCCGTAACTCAAACATAGCACGTGTCATTTTTGTTCTACACCATGTTTGCTGTACATACTATACATCACACATGGACAGAAGCATATTTGGTTAGCTATTTAGCGACCGTCCTCTCTTGGTACATAAACTGTGTACATAAGATTTAATGATCCAAAACTTTCAAGTGTTCGATACATAAATTCTAAAGACTAAAAACATGATCTAAGAGAACAAAAAAAAATCGTTGCTGCTCTCCTCCGGTTTATTTTTAGCGTAATCTTTCAATCGGGACTTTAAAACCTTTATTGTGTAAATCAAGAAAAACTTAGAATAATTTTGTTATGGTTACATTTAAAAGTTCACAAGAGAATGAATAGTCGCGACTATAAATATTGATTCTTCACAACAATATTGAGAATATTTTGTGTTCATGACCATATTGCCAGGAAAGGTGTTCATTTTCATGTCACGGATTATTTTTCTTTAATTGGTCAGAAAAGTATTTGTTTAATTGAAAGGAAATATATATTATTCCTTGAATAAACTATTTGCGATTTTTAAAGCGAATTTTTAATAGCTTGAAAAAGTATTTAAAAAAGAAACTTAATATCTATTATTTCAAATGTCATGACAGGGTCTGCTTTAAAAATAATGATGTTTAAGTAGTTTGTTAAATGTTTCCTTTGCAGAGAATTGTACCATCGTGGCTTGCTGAAAAATGATACACCTAACTTTTTGTTAGGAGAGTCAGGAGAATAACATAGATTTCCATCAATTATAAAGTACAGATTATATACTAAAAATATATTTACCTTAAGGTCATAAATGAATGTATAAATACAAGACTAAAAAGTTAAAGTTTATTTCATCTTTAATGGAAGAAAAAAAAATGTAATCCACACTGAAACAAAGATCCCTCTTTTTGTAAAAAAACATCACTCACCTGAGCACTTTGGCTACAGAAAAGCAGATATCAGTTCAGTATTGAAAAATTAAATATACAAGTGGTTTCTCTACCCTCCACCCCAACCCAGAAGAAAAAAAGAAGGGGGTCATGATTTGAACAAACTTGAATCTACACTATCTGAAGATGCTGCCATAAAAACATAAATAATCAAGGCTCTCCTGTTCTTGAGAAGAAGATTTTTTTAAAGATTCTTCTTTTATATTACTTTGTAAAGCTTTGATTGCCCATTGTGGACTTCTCTCCCCTCCCCCCTCCTGATCTTAATTTAAATCTGCAGATTTTAATAAAGCTTTCACATAAGATTCATCTTTGTTTATTGAGAAGAAGATTTTTATAAGATGCCTTCAATTATCACTAATTTTTAATTTAAAATATTTCCCATTGAAAGAGGGCATGGCCCTTCATTTGAAAAAACTTATATGCTTTTCAGCAGAGGATGATTTGTGGCAGGTTTGGTTGACATAAGCTCATTGGTTCTTTAGAAAAAGTCGAAAATGTGAAAAGTTTACAGATGACACATGACAGACAACAACACCGACGTTACACCGTCACGGTAGCTCAGTTGGTAGAGTGCTCGGTCCATGATTGGAAGGTCATGTGTTCAAATCACGGCCGCAACTGACCTGTCGATAAAAAATAGGTAGCATCCGTTCCTTTGCCAAGCGCTTGGCAATTTGAAGTGAAAGTTGTGGGTCTTTTGGATGAGACCTTAAAAACCAAAGCTCCGTGTCACAGTGGGCGTTGGCGTGATAAAGAACCCTCACTGCTCAATGGCCCTGAGTGCCAAGTAAAGGTCTAAATTTGAAACCCTTCACCGGTATATGGTGACGTTTCTATATGAGTGAAAAATTCTCGAATGGGACCTAAAACAATATTCAATCAATCAATCATGACAGACAACAGACAAATTTTTATCAGAAAAGCTCATTTGAGCCCACGGTTCAGGTGAGCTAAAACCCATGCATTTTATAATCTCAATTTAAGAAAAATCTTATATACAAAAAAAAAAATAAATAAATAAAAAATTTTAAAAAAAATAATGAATTAAAATAAAATGAGCTGTCTATCTTGAGAACTTTCCTTGGACAAACTTCATTTTTCCTTTGATTGGTGACCTCTGTAGACAAGTTTGTCCTGACATGTAAGGTTGTAAGGCCTCTGGGACAGCTACACTGCCATCCTCTTGTTGGTAATTCTCAATAATCGCCATGATTAATCTTGGTACTGCACAGGCTGTGCCATTAACCTGGATAGACAAAAGGTTATAAAAACCATAAAAAAAGAATATTCAGCTCAGTTTGAGTTGAGTTAAAAATATTTTTGTTTGCATAAATTTTACAAAGATCATGGAGTGTAACACACTGCAAACAATTCATGGTATATACAATGTATCCTTAATGTGATATACAGGTTAAGTAAGAGATAAAAATTAGCTTACAGTTTCAACATGAACAGGTCCTTCCTTGTTGGGGTCTCTGTATTTGATGTTAAGTCTTCTGCTCTGATAATCTGTGCAATTTGAGGCACTTGATATCTATTGACATAAAATAATAATCTCTTGAAAATGTTAAATCAAATGACAAAAAATAATACAATCTGTGTGTGTCATTTGGCTGGCACTGCGGCTCCTACCCTATTTACGGGTGCATGTAATTGGTCTTCCTTGTAAATTATTCTTTTCCATTAAAATGACATGGTCCATAATTCTTTGATAAAAAAATAAATAAATAAACAGGGGACTCATGGGCTCAATGCTCACCTGAGTCACTATGGCCTTGCTTTTCTACATCAGATTTTTTCCCCTTCATTTCCTTAGTAAAACCTTGATTACTATTGTGGCCCTACCCTATTCCCAGGGGTCATGATTTGAACAAACTTGAATCTATACTACCTGAGGATGTTTCCATATCAATATAACTACATGTATTCATGTCTTTGCTGTTCTGTATGATTGATTGATCGTTTGTTGTGTTACACCCCATTCGAGAATTTTTCACTCATCTGGAGACGTCACCATATACCCATGAAGGGCTTCAAATTTAGACCTTTACTTGGCACTCAGGGCCATTGAGCAGTGAGGGTTCTTTATCATGCCAATGCCTACCATGACACTGGGAATCGGTTTCTAAGGTCTCATCCAAAGGACCCGCAACTTTCACTTCAAAGTGCCAAGTGCTTGGTGAAGGAACAATTGCTACCTATTTTTTATCGACTTAGGTCAGTTGCAGCTTTGTTTCGAACACAAGACCTTCCGATCATGGGCTGTTCTTTATGAAGAAGATTTTTTCCTTTATAATCATATGTAAAACTTTTTTGTTCATTATGGCCCAACCTTATACCAGCGATCATGATTTGAACAAACTTAAGGATAAATAACACAAACAAAATTTTTCAGAAATCAGCAATAAGTCTAATAAATTTTTGTTCTTATAGATAATTTGAATAATGTTTACCAAAGTAAATGTAGAAATTTTGTAAGATTTTGCAATAATGTCATAAAATGAGTGCAAAAAATTGTATAGATTTATATAGAAAATGGCAAAATATCTCAAATTTAAACACCAAAGAATACTTACAATTTCTTAATATTTTAGGAATTTATTATTTGTGTTATTTCTCATCAAAATCAGTCAAAATATGTACCAACCCATGCATCGATTTTTTGTTTGTCCTTAAATCTACACTAATTTAGGATGCTTCCATATCAATATGAATAATCATGCCAGCCTTTGCTGTTCTTGAGAAGATTTTTAAAGATTTTTTCCTACATATTTCTATGTAAAACTTTGATCACCTATTATGGCCCCACCCTATCCCGGGGAGGCATGATTTGACCAAAATTGAATCTACACTACCTGAGGAGGTTTCCATATCAATATGACTAATTATGCCTTTGCTGTTCTTGAGAAGATTTTTAAAGATTTTTCCTATGTATTTTGAACATCCATTAAGGTCTGACCTTACCCCCTGGGGTCATGATTTGAAAAAACTTGAATCTACATTATGTAATGAAGCTTTCACATATGTTTCAACTTTTCTGGCCAAGGGGTTTTTGAGAAGATTTTAAAATATTTTTTCCTATATATTCCCATGTACAACTTTGATCGCCTATTGTGATCCCACCCTAACCCAGGGGTCATGATCTGAACAAACTTGAATCTTCTCTAATGAAGCTTGCACATAAGTTTTGGCCTAGTGATTCTTGAGAAGAAGATTTTATGAAAGATGCAGTTAATTTTCCACTAATTCTTAATCATCTCCCCTTGAAAGAGGGCCTGGCCCTTCATTTGAAAAACTTGAATCCCCTTCACTGAAAGATCCTTTGTGGCAAGTTTGGTTGAAATTGGCCAAGTGGTTCTGGAGAAGGTGATGATTATGTGAAAAGTTTATGACAACAACAACAACAAAAATAACAGACAATGGACAAATTTTGACCAGAAAAGCTCTCTTGAGCCTTCAGCTCAATTGAGCTAAAAATGCTTGGCAAACTGAAAGTTCAGAAGACTCTGATTAAAAGTAAAATCTCTGACCACACGGACAAAGGGAAATAAGTTCATGCAATTTTGTGATCCTGTCATTTCTAGGATTAAAGAAATTCTAGTATGAGGAAAAACTTACACTGGTATCAAAATAAAACTGTTTCATATGACACAAAGGATGGGTCTCTAGTAAAGTTAACTTTTTTTCAGAATGGTGTTGAAAATATATTTAATAAACAGTTAATGTCTTTCAAATTAACAATATTACCATGGTAGCTCAGTCAGTAGAGCCCTTGCATGGTGATTGGAAGGTCGTGGGTTCAAGCCCCGGCTTGGACAGACCTAAGTCAATTAAAAATACATGTAGGTAGCAACTGTTCCTTCACAACTGCTCTGACTTCCGAAGTGAAAGTTGCAGGTCTTTCAAATGAAATCTTAAAAACCGAGGCCCTGTGTCATGGTAGGCATTGGCACGAAAAAGATCCCTCACTACTCAATGGCTCTGACTGCCCATATGAGTGACAAATTCTTGAATGGGATGTAAAACAACATACAATCAATCAAATATAACACAGTCTTGATGCATCTGATTATTAACCTTATTAAAGCACAACATCTTGATGTGGAAATGAGATTTTTCATGTGAATGTCACTTCCTAACATCCATACACAATCTTGATTTATATCGCAAGTGGCAGCCTCAAGAACATGCAAAATTAAGAACCATATCACTAAGAATCCAAATCAGTCTGAACATTAAAAGGAGGTAAGAATTCAAAGAAGCACCTAAGTACAATAAATACATGTTTTTGCATGAGCACAGTCTGTAAAATTATATACATGAACATTATCTCATTTATAGTTAAAGCGTAACTTTGAATTTTGATAAAATTTCCTAATGTAAAAAAAAAAACAAAAAAAAAAACAAGGGCAAACCTACCTCTCCCCAGAATTGTTTAGAAGGCATCCAAGTTTCTATATCAAATTTCCTGTAAGCAGGTGCCCCAAGTTCATGTGTAGGCATTTCTAGCACTCTGTAATAAAATAAAATAACTTCTTTATCTATTCACTCACAAATATCTAGTTTAAAATCTTGATGTGGGATAACTGATTACATTTAAACATATAGCAAAGTAAATTCAAAGTCCAAGCAATATCCTTATACATCTACGTACATAACTGCAAAAAAATAAATAGGTTTCATAAAGTCTTAACATTGAAAATACTACTAAATATGTCTTCATCAAGAAATGAGAAGCTCCCAGGGGCAAAAATTCCTCACCTTGCTGTAACCAATAAAAAAAGAATCCTAATACTTGTCTGAATTAAGATACATGTCTGAACTAAGAACCATGTAACATCAACAGTTCTGGAGCAAAATTTCAAAATAGATGATAGGACTGATATTTAGAGAACTTGCTGTTAAGACATATGATTTTGTCTATAGTCAGCCATATTTGCTTCTTATAAATTTATCTCATAATTTTCAAAAAAATAGCTAAAAACTACACAAATAACAAAATTATCATATTTCAGGAGCAACAACTCCCAACATTCAGGATGAACATATGTATATGAAATATGGTTCACAGGTACACTTTATGTTGCCTTCAGTTTTTCTTATTACAATAATTATACACTTTTAATTCTGATAGTTTGCAAGATAATAGCCAAAAATCATCAGAATTTGACATTTCAGGGGCCATAACTCCAACTTGAGCACAGATTTTTATGAAACTTGATATGTAGCAAGCTTTTGCCATTTGAATTATTTTCAGCACTACATTTTGCCTTTCTGCTTTTATTTCTAATTTTTATTTTGGCAAAATCTGCATACTCTTCTGTTCTATCTACATTAATGGCAGCCTTCTTTTCTATTGGATCAAAATGAAAATTGGATCATTTGTAAAAGAAATGGCTGACATCAATAACATAAAGTCATAGAAAAAACTGCCCATGTACATAATTTGCAATATGAAATTCTTTTCCTTAGAAGAAATATTACACTGGAACAGGGATTGTACGAAATACATATATGTTGTCCATTTTTCCATTTATTAGGCCATAAAAAATTAATTAATAGTTTCTCAGGCCAAAAATTTCAAAATTCAATGCGGCAGGCAGGTTCTTATTTATTTATTTATTTATTTATTTTTTTGAAGCAGGTTTTATACCTTTTTTCATGTTAGTCATTCAACAAAATGATGATATCAACTGATTCTTACTTTTTTGGTTCTCTTACATTAATTGAAATATGTATTCAACTTTAAATAATGTTATTCCAAACAAAGTTAATTCATAAAATACCGTATTAACAAGAAATGTATTGTTTATCTAATAAAAACGTCTAATACCATTTATGAAAAGGGGAATAACTCAATTTTCTTTCTCAACTTGGAAAAATAGAAAATTGAGTTATTTCCCTTTCAATATGTCAATAAAATTGATCAATGCGGCAGTGTTTGTCCTGATGCGGCAGTGAATGAGAAACTATTGATTAATTTTTTTTTCCCCTAGTTTTTTCCTTTTATTCATTAAACTTGTGACTTACCTAAAATGTAATCCTAAATTCAAAAATAATTGTTTTTCTGTCTCTAAAAACTCTTGAAGAAGATCATCTCCCTGTCCTTTCTTTGTTACGCCAAACATCTCAACCTGTCAAAGTACATACACTGGTATGTAAAAGGACTTTTATAAGCCATATATAATATGTCATTTAATTTACAAACATTCTTTTTGTCTGCAGTGTGAATATGGAATATAACAATTACCTTGTGTGTCTATAAAACGCAGTACCAAGTAAAGTTCTTAATTCAGAGAGTGAGAAAAAATGTTTGATAGTAACAATTTGTTTGCAACTGGCTTTTCTTACCTGTAGGATAGAGAAAAATAAATTTTGTGTAATAGAATGGGAGAAATACAAGATAGATCACACTTGGACACAAACACTGGATGAACTTAGAAGGTGCTCAACCTGTGCTACTTATGTCAGCATTGGATGCCAATAACACCTACCTTTGTAAATAGGTGGACTCTATAAATATCTTATATACTAACACCCACCTTTGTAAACTGGTGGACTCTATAAATATCTTATATACTAACACCTACCTTTGTAAACTGGTGGACTCTATAAATGCCTTATACACTAACACCCACCTTTGTAAACTGGTGGACTCTATAAATACCTTATATACTAACACCCACCTTTGTAAACTGGTGGACTCTATAAATACCTTATATACTAACACCCACCTTTGTAAACTGGTGGACTCTATAAATACCTTATACACTAACACCCACCTTTGTTAACTGGTGGACTCTATAAATACCTTATACACTAACACCCACCTTTGTTAACTGGTGGACTCTATAAATATCTTATATACTAACACCCACCTTTGTAAACTGGTGGACTCTATAAATACCTTATATACTAACACCCACCTTTGTAAACTGGTGGACTCTATAAATAACTTATATACTAACACCTACCTTTGTAAACTGGTGGACTCTATAAATACCTTATATACTAACACCCACCTTTGTAATCTGGTGGACTCTATAAATATCTTATATACTAACACCTACCTTTGTAAACTGGTGGACTCTATAAATACCTTATATACTAACACCCACCTTTGTAAACTGGTGGACTCTGTAAATGCCCTGCTCCTCCTCAGTAGCTGACACCTCTGCCCTGTAACAGCGACTTACAGCACAAACCCTGTGAATAAATAGTGAGAAAGTTTAGATGCTAGCAATTTAGTGACTAGTTGATACCAGGATAACCCATTAAAGCTGGAGAGCTTATTTCCAATGGGGTCCTACCCTAAATAAGATAAAAATACAATGTTTCATCATTAAAGCACTATAACAATTTTTGGCACTATAATTTTAGAGCAAGATGATCTCATACTTTCAAAGAATGGAAAAAGCATGTACAGAATATGCAAATACAAACTCACCTTTTTGGTAAATTTTTGCACAACTCATTCATAAACAAACCTACGATCAGAAAAAGAAAACAAAAATAAAAGTCTGTGTGCTTCTATAATTAGCTAACAATTTCTCATCAAGAAAGCATTTTGTATTTACTCCCCATTGAATGTCAGTGTTTACTGTAAGGTGAGACAGTGATCAGTACATATGTACATAGTATTCTTTCATTAAACAAAGGAACTAAAAATAGCTTAATGTATTGTGAACTGGGTAGATCCCCCTACACATTAAAACAACATTAAGAACTTTTAAATACATGCACTGGCTAAAAACTAAAACCATGAATAACTGTATTTTGAAAGAATGTTATGAAAACATAATTGCGAACAATGACAAAAGATCGGCTGTCAAATATAGGTTTACAATTCATGTTTAAAGAGTCAAGTACAAATCACTCAAGAATTATAAGATAATTGAAAATAGGATATCGGATATTTACAAACAGAATTTATAATCTTCTCTATCAAGTTCACCAAAGAGTGTTTTGCATCAATATTTGAAATACAATTTTTGTCTATTAGCCTATCTTAAAAACCAAATTAACTTAACTTAAATGGGGAAAAAATGTATAGCAAAATTGAGAACATCTTCACACCCTTTGAATACTGAAAAAATCAGGCATAATAATGTGAGAAGGAATATAAGGTTTTGTAAATTTTAGTGTTATCTTGATCAAAATGATATGGAAGATGAGTTTTATTTTATTTTGAAATGTCCATTTTATGTTGAGAATGAAGTATATTAAGTGGTTTTATTTAATAAACTGTGTGTTTTTAAATGAGTAAAGCTCCTTAGTGTGGAAAATACAAAAGAACTTAAAAACATTTGAAAATTTTTAGAACAAGCTGTAAAACTGAGGAGTTTTACATTATGATTGTATGACAGTCTATATATAGTACAGCGTGAGTAAATTTCTATTTTTATTTTTACAACTTATAAAATGTGATTGTTCTTTTTTTTTTTCAATACTTTCCATTCACCCATATTTTTACAGTGTGTGTATATATATATTGAAACAATTTATTTTATTTCGATGAGTTGTGAAACTCAAGGGCACTGACTGGAAAAAATGTGGTTAAATTGTATCAAATTATAAAACCTTGTGTTTTCATTGGACTAGAGATCTAAACTTTTAATTTGAACAGTATGTGAATTCCACAATTAAAAACTTATTTCATTACCAGCAAGAGATATTTCTGATGTTCCTGCTAAACAGAGGTTGTCATGGTGATGTGAATCTACTTTATAAACCTGGTTCCTGTCTCCTGTTGTTTTGAATCCACAAGCTTCCTGCATGGTTTTCAAAAAGAATTTATAACAATCATGTCTAATGTGCTGATCTATTTTTTTTTTTTTTAAAAAAGTTTCTTTCCACAGATTCAAAAAGTGAAATGCTCATTTCTAGCAGTTTTGGGGAAATACTCATTGAATCTTTGCTTGTTCAACAAAATGTATATTGGTAAATATTTTTTTTTGCATAAGCAGTGTATTCTTTGGAGGCATAATTCTCATTTATGGTATTTATAGTTGTTTCATATTTCTTGAGCAATGAGCTCAGTGACTTACTAGTCAAAATATTAAAGTAGTGAAACTGTAATGCTTTGACAGCATTGACAATGGATGACTTACAACGACATTAGAATTTAGGAGATCTGGGACAGACACCAGGGAGAACCCTCTAAGCAGAAGATGGTCCAAGGTGTACCTAATCAAGGCCTGCTCCAATTTAGCAAAGTCAGACATTAAGTAGTAGGTCCGTGGTCCTGTAGTGTGGCCAACATCACTAAAAAAACAAGAGATGTGAAGTAAAATTAATGAGTGAAAATCCATAGGTATGAATAAAAGTGTCAAAAAAATGCATTTAATATTTCAGTTCTCACGAAAATCTAATACATGTAGACTCGATGTTAGAGTACCTTATTCTTAAAAGATTTAATCTCTGTCCAATTTCTAGCACAGACTGTGGTTTAAACGTAAAATCTGAAAATAAACTGATTTTTAGTAAATTAGTACATTTAGTACATTAAAGGAATGGGCAAACAAGGTATGGAAAATTCCTATAGCTTCAAATGTGTAAAAGTCATATTCAATTTGTAAATATAGTAAAGTTCTTTTTTTGAGAGGTATGAAATTATGGCAAACAAAGAAAACTTTTCTGCAGAAAATTCTTCCAGCAAAAATCATTCTATGATTTTAAAAAAAATATATATGGTATTCTTGGGGTTCGAACCCAAGCAATAAAAATCCTGAACATCAGATAATTTTTTTTTCTTAGAGACCAACATGCTAACCACTATGCTATACAGCTCATATGGCATTAACTGCATATAAATCACATTTGTGAATTGACCCTTGACTAAATGTACTTCAAATATTTCTCAGAAAGATACAAATGTTGTGTCATAAAAGGGTATCTTTTAGGTATAGTGGGTCTTTGCTTCATGTTTTAGTTAGCCAAAATATGAATTTAGTTATACACATACTTTGAGTATAATCTTTCAAATGGAGCGAGGACCCACTCATATGGAAAAATTGATATAGCATGGTGTGTATATGCTATTTCATAGAAAATAATTTCAATCTTTGTGAGATTGTAGCAAATTGTGGAGATTTTACATAAAGTATACATTAATGATAAGTGAAATATCAAAGACAATTTTGTCATAATTGACATTTAATTTTTCACTTTCTTGTTTGTCACACAATGGTCATTTTTCTTGCTTTGTTCACCCATCTTCTTTTGAGACAAATGAGAAGCATTATGATAGAGATACCATATATACTCACCTATAAGTCAGTTTTTTGGGAGCTAAACTTTGGTCTAAAACTCTTTGTCCAACTTATAGGCGAGTTATAAAATGATTGGTATTTTAGAGGGTCAATCCCTCTAATATAAGCTTAAAAAATACAACCGACTTATAGGCGGACCGACTTATTGGCGAGTATATACAGTAATTAATGAATGAATTATTGATTTATAAGATAAATTTTGATTTTAAAAACAAACCTCTTCTTGCTCCATACAGCCCTTTACACTCAGCCACATCCTCACTTCCTATTGGCTATATAACAAAATACACAAAAAAATAATAGCACAATGAATTAACCGTAAAACTTGGATATACAGAACTCACTTACAAAGAAATCTTGGTTATGTCAGTGAGAAACTTTATAAGTAAGAATCACATAGAAGACTCTTCACTGTTTCTTATAGGGATATAAAGAATCTCTATTATAAGGAAGCAAATTCAAGGTTCAAGTGATTGACTTATAACCAAGTTTTATTGTACTTTCTAAGACTAATTAGTAATAATATGTACAGTAAAGGGCAGTAACTCACTGATGCTGGAGAGGTTCTGTTGGGAAGTGCAGATGCTGCTTCATTTAACTGTTGTAGCAGGGAGCCTTTCAGTGCAACCTACATGTACATTAGCCAATTTTATAAGCCTATTTTCACAGGAAAAGTTTTTCATATATACCAACACAACTTTTGAGTTAGAATGGCAATTCATTAGGGTGTCCAAATAAAAATTCCAATCAATTATTTTATTAGAATTTTTTTTATTATTTTTGTTAAACATATCATCTTTACTATCTTAATAATAAAGTGATTTAATTAATTTCAATTCACATACTGAACAAGTACATGAATTGAACAAGATGGAAATTCTAACTATATATATATATATGTATATAAATATAGACTTGCACTATGAATAAGAATTAACTTACATTCGTTTCCTTTTGATATAATTTCCACAAAGAAATCTGAAATATATGGACATAAACTTCAAGTTAGACACTGTCAAAAGAAAATATTGTTAATAATAATAATATGTTAAAGGTAAATATTTTTTAATAATTTTTCTACATTTTTTTTCTATATTAACAATAACATCTGAACAAAAATTTTAACTAACATTAATACGTATATGTACTGTATAAAATTTACCACTTTCTCTATGTCTCCTATTCCTTTCCTGTTAATAATGTTTTCCTTTATTTCCTTTTGATTTTTGTCGTTACACAGGTATTGCCAATCAAACTCTGGGACAGGAGGATCAAATGGCTGGGTCCATTCTTTAATGCTATCGCTAGAACTTAAAAATCTGGTGAGGATTTTTGTTTTGCAGAATGTGAAGTCTGGGATAGAAATCCTTCTCATTAACTGTAAAGCTTTCATTTTTCTGCATACACATAAATTCATAATACACTGGAAATCTTCAGTCAGTAGGGTAGCTGAATTAACTAAATGAAAGAATATTTAAGCTATTAATTAATAAAATGGATGGTAAATTTCAGTGGATCTAGGCATAGAATAATTACATACATGTGCACGTCTACACATACAAGTAGAAAATATTAAAATGTTTACCAAAAAAAGAGGAAATATCTGACAACTATAGACGGGTACAGAAACATTTTTTTTTAGCTAGAATACCGGCCTGGACAACATCTTTACACTGCTATTTATCCTCTATATAGTAATGTCATCCATCTTGCAAGCAACTGTGTGTGGGAGAGTCTCTACACTCATGACATTTTACGCTTGTCAACGCTGTACATAAACCTATTGGTTCACATCATGAATGCCCAGAGTTATCCCCCTTGAGCACACTTTTCAGTGGATATAATGAAGAGAAAGTCGAATATTCTGCTATATCTTAACAAAACAGTTACTAATTAAGTATTTGTTTATCAAGTTTATCATATATGTAGCCTACTAGTTGGTAACAATTAGTAAATTGACCTTAATATTCAAAAACAGTTGACATCACTCTAACATGTTCCTCTTCAACGTTTTTCCCATGTGCTGAGTGCAAAGGGAGGCAATAATGTAAACAGACTTACTTCCGGTAACAGTAGACAACACGCAAAACATAAACAAAGAGAAAGTCAGCTGAGTCTAGCTGTGTGTAAACATTAAACAACACAGGTAAAATATGTATTTATTTATTATCACTTTGGTATTAATACATCTAAAATATTTGAAATTATATAACATAAAACTGCTGAAGAACTGTCATTTCGTGTACATCTGATTATGCATGTTAAAAAAAATTGACCGATTTTCCTTCACACCATCATATTTAATCACTGTAAAATTTATTTTTATAATTAAGAGAATTTATGTAAATGGGTATATAATATTAATTAAAATATATACTGATGCGCCCTTTAAATATAACTCCTTCCATTAATAAATTAAGAATTATATACCAGCTGTATCATGAATTAATTAAATAGCTATATTATAGTTGCAGATCTGTATCTCGCTTGTTTGTTCACAAGATATATACATATATGTACATGTATACATATTCCAATGCTCATTATTTACAAACAATTTTGTTTATGAGACATGCAACCCATTCTCATTTTGTGTTTTCTATCAGTTTTATTATTTTCATATTTCTTGAAATTGTTATATACATGTATTCTGTAATTTTAGCTGATTGCCTATAGATGGCTGCTGGATTAAACATTGCTGGTCTACAGTTGGACACAGCACCTCTAGCACAACATGACAGTGAGCAGGTGTCATTCAACTCCAGAAGTCAGATGTCTGTATCTATTCCCACCTCCCCAACTGCCCTCTCCCTGGCTAGTCCAGAGGGAATTGACTGCTATGGTAATGAGAGACAGGTTCTTAGTGACCAGGCAAAATTCTACAACAATTCTACTCTAAGTGATGTGACACTAGTGGTGGGAGGCAACAAATTCTACGCACACAAGCTCATTCTGGTTCGTTCAAGTGACGTGTTTGAGCGCATGCTGAGTGAAGAGTGGAGTGATGGTAGCAAAAAGGTACCAACATAACTCTAATTACTCATGTGTATATATTGTACTATAAAATAAATTGTAAAATATATCAAATGTAGATTTATTTTGAGGAGCAATTCTATCACACATTTTAATGCTTGTCCTTCAAATTATTTGAGAGATTCATGTCTGCAAGAATAAGATAATAAAAATTACATTTTCCATTTTTTCTTCATGCAATTTAATGCAGATTTGCTGAGTACTCAGATTGTTGCACATATTTTTTCCATCTGATTAATATTAAATGTTTAGTGGTGTGAACAAGCTTAGGTAAAGAATTTAATTTCTTTATATTTCAGGATCTTACTTTGACAGAGGACAGTATGTGTGTCAATGTCTTTCCAAGATTTCTGCAATTCCTATACAGTTGTCATATCAAACTAAACATGGACAACACATTACCAGTATTGATTCTAGCAGATAAATACAATGTCACAGACCTACGCAATGTCTGTATCTCATTTGCATGCTCGTTTATCATCCCAAAATTACAGCTGAAAGAGGTGTTTCATGTTTGGTTTCAATATGCCACAAAGTGCAACAACACTCGACTGACCAATTCCTGCATCAGAGCTATGGCTGAAAAGATGGATGATATCATTGGATCAGTGGAATGGGAAGATGAGTGGGTTAATATGGACAATCAGCAGCTCATTGAGTTTCTCAAGTGCTCAGATTTATGTATCAAAGATGAATTCCAGCTATGGAATGCCATGTTAAAGTGGTTACTGTGTCCACAATTCCCAGCTAGAGCAGGAGAGAAGATTCAAGAGCTGGCTGAAATTGTGGAGCACATTCGTTTTCCTATGATGACAGCTGAGCAGCTCTGTGCTGTAGAATCTAGTGAAGTGGCACAGAAGTATAAAGATATCTTCCAGAGGCATTTTCTTCAGGCTTATAAGTATCATGCACTACCCTTGACTAGTAGGGCTACTGTTAAAGAATTCAGTGGTCCATGCTTCTTACTGAGGAACTACACAGATCTCAGATGGGACAAACGGTTTGTGATTCAACCATTTTCTGCCTGTCCTAAGTGTTCAGAAGTAAGCTTCAGGTTTTCAACGAGGGCTTCAACTTTTCCTCAGCAGACTTGGGATTGGGATCTAAAATGTCACCCAAAAGGATTCTCATCGACATCGGAGGAGTTCAGATGTATACTGTATTCTAATCTTATTTTGGATCAGCCTCGTCCGATTGAGTATCTACTGTCTGTAGTAGGGAAGGAAGAAATTCTTCACTCTGTCAGTGGACGTAAAAATTTCTCCAAGACAAGATACACCGCTGACACTGAGATGGATAAAAAAGTATCTGTTGCGGAACTCTGCCAACCAAATTCCCCTCTACTTTTGGATGACTCTTTGATCCTGCAAATAACACTTAAACCAGTAGAATAACAATTTAATACATCTATTTGGGGATCTGCAATCTGTGTTATAGATTCGTAAATTGTGCCAGAGCATTAAGATTTAGGATGCACAGCTATATATTGTAATGTACTGTAAAGTATAATGTAGTTAGAACAGATGTCTCAGTAGTTAACTTATTGCAAATTTTCTGTCATTCACAAAGCACTGTTTTAATTCAAAGTAGTCTGTTTATTTAGATAAACTCAGCTTTAATTTCATTTATTAGATGAACATATGTTATTTCAAATGAAAACATGCTAAATGATAAGTGTTTATTAAAATACTGACCGATTCTCAGCTTATGTTGAGTTGAAGACTTCAGATATAACAAGTGTTAGTTAAAATGATTGAGATACATTAAACTGATATCCCAGAATCTTGTTATACCCAAGTCCACAATAGCAGAATTTTTATTTAAATGATGTTGGATCATTGACAAGCTACTATTTTTTTTGTAATTTGTTGTTTCATTTTGCTTATAATCAAAATGGACCAAAACACTAAAAATCATATTGAACAGTGGCGTATTTAGGAGAACATTCCATTTAGGTTGTTAATTGTTTCAGAAATAATGTTATATACTAGCTGGTATGCGTATAATCAGATAAATGCAGACAATTATGGGCATGTCTCATGCAGAATTTTTTTTATATATATCCATAATTTATATTTGTTACATGTTTGTTGTAGATGATTTGCATGTTTAATGTCAATCAAATTGAAACATTTAATGTTTTCAGTGTTCACTGATAGAGCTTATTAAACTCAATAACATGCATGTAGAAGTTCAAATAAATTTAGAACAATAGTAATTTTCTTTTCTTTTCTTTTTTTTTTTTTTTTTTGAAATGATTATTTTGTCATAAACATATATCAAAATTATTTGAAACAATGTTGATATTGATTATTTCATTTTTAAATCACTAAGATCTGCAATAGCTAAACGAGTCGACCATGTACGAATTCATTAAACTCTGAAGACCGGAAGTAGTATTAAACATGGCGACCTTCATGCGAAATTTACGCACATGTAACTTTAATTTTGGACACTCACGAATAACTAGATTACATAGACATTATCAGTGTTTTTCAAAGTCATCTCGACAAATTTCAGAAAATTTTCGATCAAACTTTATTCGCCATTCCTGTTCAGCCAAACTACCAACGATTAAAGAATCGACAGTTCGGAGGTTTCATCATATTTACAGTGTAGAAAACAGGTTATGTAATTCTAAAAAATTGTCTGTTTGGAATAACAATCTTTTGAATACATGGAAACGAGCATCTTCTGTAAACTGGCATTGTTTAAGAGCGTATTCAAGTCAACAATCCTCGGGGGACACAGAGGACGGAGAAACTCCTCCACCCCAGGGACCCCAGTACCTCCCGACACCCCTTACCGTACCAGATTACTTTCCAAGAGTGCCGGTATTAGCTGTCAACAGAAATCCCGTTTTCCCTAAATTTAGTAAAATGTTAGAGGTAAATATTTTTTTCCGTAGCTGACATGTGCAAGAACATAATCTGCTGAATGCATTAGATGTTATGAAATAGAATTGTATAAAGTATGCTTGTTCTTTAATCTTTTCATATTTAAAGACGATAATAAAGATATTTAAAAAAGTGAAAATTATTTTACATGGAACAGTGCATATTTAGATGGCTAGTAGAATGAAATTAACATGGCAATCAGGTGGAGCTGGAAATTGTTGGATGTTTTTAAATGTTTAAAAATAATCTTTCCATAGATAAAAGATCCTGATTTAATGGATTTGTTGAGGAGGAAAGTTAAATTGAATCAACCATATGCAGGAGTTTTTCTGAAGAAAAGTGATTCGTAAGTGTTTTTTACAGTATCATATATGTTTTGATATTGCATCATAAAATATCAAGGCCACAATGCACATGAGTATCATCAGACTGTAGCAAAAAAAAAAAAAAAAAAACACAGATGCAACCTTGACCCAGTAGATGTTTGCAAATGGTAAAGTATGGTTTGTTGTTTAAAAGTCTAGATTGTAAGCATGCAGCCAATAGACAGATAGATAGTACTATTTATAGAATGTTCTAGAAGACAATGTTTAACTAAATGGCAAATATTTATTTCTTCTTTAGAAATGAAGCAGACTGTGTCTCCTCTTTAGATGATATCTACAAAGTGGGAACATTTGTTCAAATTGCTGAGTTGCAAGACATGAAAACAAAAATAAGATTAATTGTCAACTGCCACAGAAGGTTTGCTCAGTAATTTTTATTGGCATTTATCTTATTTATGAGATTAAGAATAATAACAATGAACATTTTTCATAAGTTTATTTTAAATTTATAATTTTCAAGTCAAACATTATTTCGTGAATAATATGCACAAAAATAAAGGTGTGGTTTCCTTTTCCAGGATCCGGATTACTGATATTTTAAATGAAGATGCAGAACCTTTTCCAACGGGGACTATTTCACCACGTAGGTACTCAGACAGTACAAATGCATGTTAAAGTTGGTTTTGATCTTTGTTGTATAATATTGAAGCATACTATAAAACTTAGACCATAATTTTTACTCAAGCCATAGAGGGGCTTAATTGACTTATCCAAAACAATGCTAGTTCATCAATTTACTTGATTTAAACACCTGAAACTATATTAGCGAGGTAAATAAAAACAAAACAAATTTTACGATGCCATTTAGGAAATGAATATAAATACATGGTATTAAATACATTTGTATATAGACAAGCATTTCTAACATTCAGATAGCTTAAAACCATCAGGTTCAATAGAAACTACCACCACTATGCTTCGTCAGATATTCCTGAAAATGAATGAAAACCGTGCAATAAAGCCACTATATGTATTTTTTTTTCTAGTACATATTTTATTCAGCAAAAGTTGTTGAAATTCAGTAGTCTACATCTCATGTCAGTTTAGGATACTTAGGACATTTCTTAGTTTACTCTCTACAGTTTGAGGATATCTGACATTTTGTTAGTCTATACTTGTTTTATATCTGTAGATTGTTGAGCTGAATTGAAATTTGGATCAAACCACTTATTGATTATTTAAAGTAGAACTTTTTTATGGAAATATTTCCTATTATTACAGTGTATATCAAATTAAGTGTTCTTAAAGCTACATGAGCTCCTAAGTAAGAGAGAATTTTGCTGTCTTTTTTTTTCTCACAAGTCTTGAATTTGTAAAACTCGAGATTTTAAAAATCTGAATTTAAATTTATATCATGTATATAAAAATGTTCATTAATTTATTATTTCCTTTTTATTGACAGTCAAAACAGTTCAAGAGAAAAATGACAGCAAAAGAAAAATGAAGAGAAGAAGAAATGGCAAGGCAAATAATGGCAATGGTGATGAGAAAGTGGAAACCACAGAGACACTAGAAGGATCAACAAATTGTAAGTAGACACATTAATAAAAACACATGTACTTATGGCTGAATGGCACAAAACATTAATTCAAGGATACATTTTTTACAGATTTATTTAAAATGTCATTTCTCGAAGTGTAACAAAGTAATCCAAGTTTGTAGAGAAAAATGAGAGCATTTCACAAGGCACACTCAAAAAAGCATTGCAAGATTAATTTCTTTGTATCAGGATAATGTGTCAATGGAAAATTTTAGTTGAATAGGATTCAGATTTTAGAAAGAGATTTTTTTATATGTACAGCTGTAGGTACAACTAGCTTTTGATTTTAGAAACATATTTAATTTGAATTCAAGTAGTTGAGTCAGCTGACATACATTTATCCTTTTCATTTGAGAATTTTAAAGAATATTTTATGTTGACTCTTGAGCATTGCTCAACGGGACACATTAAAGGCAATATTTTATTCTATAGCAATGAACACACCTACACCTCCACCCATGGGCGAAAAAATAGAGGAAGATGTTGCCAAAACTGTGTCCATGAATAAAATTCTGATGGTGGAAACAGAGAATGTCAAGGACATATCTTATGAGTACAATGATCAAATGAAGGTAAGTTTGGTGGATTAGCACTGAAATATCAGTATGAGGGAAATTAAATCTGTTGTGAGACATAAATTGGAATTTACACTGTAAGAAAATACTTGAGTCTTATATTCCAAATCATAGATATTCTGACATGATTACTTGTAATTTATAAACCTACTATATTCCTACAGTAAGTTTATATCCGTGTTTCATTTGCACTGCTCTATATCTTTTCCAGGCCACAACTGCAGCAGTGGTAGAAACAATTAGAGATATCATCTCTCTGAATCCTATTTACAGGTACTTTTACAGTTTATTGTGAACATAGAATAAGTAAACCGTGCATTCAAAATCACATGGCTAAAATTTATCAATACAATTTGTGTTTTTCAGAGAAAATTTGGCCTACATGATTCAACACAACAGATTCAATGATAATCCAGTTTACATCAGTGACCTAGGTATAGGCATCACCTTTTGTTAAACTTCTGTAATCACATACAGTTTCTAATATGAAATATTTATAATGACAAATTACTGTATGCTAACTTAACGATTCCAATAAATTGAATTGAACTTGAAAGTACTACACTGTACTAATTTTTTAGCTCACCTGAGCTGAAAGCTCAAGTGAGCTTTTCTGATCACCCGTTGTCCGTCGTCCGTCCGTCTGTCCGTCCGTCTGTAAACTTTTCACATTTTCAACTCTTCTGAAGAACCACAAGGCCAATTTTAACCAAACTTGGTACAAAGTATCCTTGGGTGAAGAGGAGTGTAAATTGTTAAAATAAAGGGCCAAGTCCCCTTACAAGGGGAGATAATCAAGAGAAAACAAAAATAGGGTGGGGTCATTAAGAAATCTTCTTTTCAAGAACCACTGGGCCAAAAAAGCTGAAACTTATGTGGAAGCATCCTGGGATACTGTAGATTCTAAATTGTTAAAATCGTGACCCTTGGGGGTAGGGCGGGGCCACAATAGGGAATCCAAGTTTTACATTGAAATATATAAGAAAAATCTTTAAAAATCTTCTTCTCAAGAACCACTGGGCCAGAAAAGCTGAAACTTATACGGAAGCATCCTGGGGTAGTGTAGATTATTAATTGTTCAAATCATGATCCCCGGGGGTAGGATGGGGCAACAATAGGGAATCCAAGTTTTACATTGAAATATATAGGAAAAATCTTAAAAAATCTTCTTTTCAAGAACCACTGGGCCAGAAATACTGAAACGTATATGGAAGCATCCTGGGGTAGTGTAGATATATTATAAATTGTTAAACTCATGACCCCCGGGGGTAGGGCGGGGCCACAATAGGGAATCCAAGTTTTACATTGAAATATATAAGAAAAATCTTTACAAATCTTCTTCTCAAGAACCACTGGGCCAGAAAAGCTGAAACTTATATGGAAGCATCCTGGGGTAGTGTAGATTCTAAATTGTTCAAATCCTGACCCCCGGGGGTAGGGCGGGGCCATAATAGGGAATCCAAGTTTTACATTGAAATACATAAGAAAAAATCTTTAAAAATCTTTTTCTCAAGAACCACTGGGCCAGAAAAGCTGAAACTTATATGGAAGCATCCTGGGGTAGTGTAGATTATTAATTGTTCAAATCATGACCCCCGGGGGTAGGGCGGGGCCACAATAGGTATATTAAAAGGCGGGAAATCTGGTAAAGAACAGCATGGCCAAAGTTACTCAGGTGAGCGATGTTGCCCATGGGCCTCTTGTTATTTGTTGACATGACTTTGAATTTGACTCTTGTGTAGGTGCCCAGTTAACGGCAGCTGAATCCTCCGATTTACAGTCTGTTTTAGAGGAGCTGGATGTAAGTAAATACAAGTTCTAGTAACCAGAGACTTTAGTACATAGTCCAATTCCTAAGTAACTAATAATGTAAAACCATTCATCATTTGTTTGAAAAATAGACCAATACCTTCTTGGTAAATGGTGCAGTAGACTTGTACACAGGAATCCAAGAGAATCCAAAGCTTGCATATGTGCTGTGCTTTGTTAACAAATCACATGATGAAAGTCAAATGAACATGTGGTAGTCCCTAATCTTTACCTGACTCTGGGCAAAAAAAGAAGAAACCCAAAGTGGAAAAAAGACTGAAAACAATGTATTGAAAAGCACACAGCAGAGTACCTGCAGGAATCCCCAGGACTGAGTTCAGATTGGGAATATGATACAAATTATGTCAAACTGTATTTTCATGTATTTCTTCACCTCAGAGTTTGTTTAGCTTTTGGAAGTCACTTGGTCACTCATTTAAATATCCACAGCGTGTTTGTTTTGTCAACATGGTTTTCAACTGAGATTTCTCTTATAAATGTTGTTAAACACCCCCCCCCCAAAAAAAAAAAAAAAATACCAGTTGCATGTTTCATTTTTATACACATTTTATTTATACATGTATATTTATTGTTAAAGAAAAAATATGTGTCTTAGTCAAACCAAGCGATTTAGATAAGGTTAAGTTGTCGTACAGCTAGACAAATTTAAAAAAAATGATTATATCTTTGTAATCATCATAAAATTTAATGTTTTGTTGTCTCTTCAGGTATCAGAGCGATTACATATGGTGCTCACATTGCTGAAGAAAGAATTTGAAAGAAATAAACTTCAGAAGAAAATTGGTGAAGAGGTAATGGCAAGAAAGTGTTAAGCTGCTTTATAATTTTGAATTGATTGCTTTGTATGCTTATTGAATTACATTGGCCTATGGATCTTTTATATATATATATATATATATACATGTATAATAGGTTGAGGAAAAAGTGAGAAAGCAACATCGTGATTTTATCTTAAGAGAACAGTTAAAGCTGATTAAAAAGGAATTGGGTATGGAGAAAGATGATAAGGATGCCATAGAGGAAAAGTTTAGAAAAAGGTTAGAGGTAAGTTTGTGTAAAAAACTGGATAAGTATTAGTTATTTAGTTATATAAAGTCATATATAGTTACATATGTATGACGTGTGCCATAATTTAACGGCAGAAAACCAAAATGGCCTTGCTCAAGTGTGAAGCATAATGTAAACTATAAACATAAATACAAGTGGAAAATACTGTACCTGTGTTCAATATTTTGTCATTTGACCTTTGACCCTCAACACTTTCCTCATACATTTTGGCAGAGAATTATATTCCAAGGGGAGATTTTGCCATATGTCTACGATAGCCCTGGATGGTTCATCGGGGTACATTGTAGTGATGTTTTCCACACAATGTTGCAATCTTTGTTTAAGTTTTAGCCACACATTTTGTGCAGGCCAGTTGATACAATTTATATGATTCCTGGCTTGGTAATTTTTGACATCTTGGGCTCGGTGGAGTGGAGCATTATCTTCTTGAAATAAAAAAGTTTTGGTTTGGACAATGGGTAGCTTTAACGAGCCACAAGTTGTTCTGAAGGATATCTGTATATTTACATGTATGTCTATTCACAGTGCCATTTATGGTTGTAACTGTGCCCACACCGTAATATTTTATGCATCCCCAAATCATAACAGATTCTTTGGGGGGGGGGGGGGGGGGAGGAGGCACAATTGGGGGACTCCACTTCATCTCCTTTCATTACCATATATAGAACCTTTTGTTTTGACACAAACAACTTGAGTTTCAGAAAATTTCTGTCATGAGGGTTGTACTTGAGAAATGCAGATGTCGAGACTTGAAGTAAATTTTTGTAAAATAAAAGAGACTTGATTCAGATAAAGCAAAGAAGACAGTTTAAATTAGGGAATAACTGTCTTCTCATCTGTTATTTGCAACCATTAATGCTGATTTCACAGTAAAAAATTAAGTTTTACTAGTGAGGATGTATAATAATACATGTACATACATATTTAGGTTTCTCAGATTTCATAACATTGCATTAGGTGAAGAAATTTGAAATTATAAATGTAAATATCAGTAGTGTGTAGGATTTGTTTTTAATATTTATTTATTTACCTTTTCAGGGTTTGTCAGTTCCTGATCATGTGATGGAAGTTATCAATGAAGAACTAAATAAATTATCCATTCTTGATAATCACTCCTCAGAATTCAGGTAAACAATTTCTTTGTGTGTTATGTCTGTGAGTATTTAGTTTGAGTATATTATTTTGAAAATGTTGAAATGCTTGGTGGATACATCAGGACCACTTTGTCCATGTGGATGAAATCACACTGATGGAGTTGTGCTATTCAGTTTTATTTATAATTACATGTATCACTTGTAATCACAGTGACTGGCTAACTATTTTACATTTACTTCAGTGTCACACATAATCACCTGGACTTACTAACCATTTTATTTCAGTATCACACAAAATTACCTATTTTATTTCAGTGTCACTCGTAATTACCTGGACTGGCTAACTATTCTACCTTGGGGAAAGTTCACAGAGGAAAATCTAGATCTGAGCAAGGCAAAGGAGATATTGGAGGCCGATCACTATGGCATGAAAGATGTCAAGGACAGAATAATGGTATGCATCATTTAATAGTGCAGAAAAAATTGTACTTATTACAAATAAAAATGTTGTACATTTAGGTAAAAGTAAGATTGTTTTTTTTTTTTAAATCTACAGGAATTTATAGCAGTCAGCCAATTAAAGGGATCAACACAAGGCAAGATTTTATGTTTCCAAGGGCCACCAGGCGTGGGGAAGACCAGTATAGCCAAGTCTATAGCCAGGGCACTAGGCAGAGAGGTAATGGATACTTCTGTGAATTCACACAGAAAAAATATGTAGGCCTCAATGATACTGTATTTTTTTATTTTTGCCTTTTTTTTTCATTCAAATTTCAATGAATACTAACAAGGACACTGCTACAAGTAAGAGCTTGATTTTGTGGTACCAACTCAAATGTATCTCCCAGTGAACCTCTACTATGCTGCAGTATAATAAATAGGAAGTGACTTGGATGGTTCACTTTCCTGGCATTATTCTGTGAACTCTTCCAAAAATTTTATTGATGCAGTTATTTGGGAATTCTATCTTGTAATTATTTGTTTATTTTGCAGTATTACAGATTCAGTGTAGGGGGAATGTATGATGTGTCAGAAATCAAGGGACACAGGAGAACCTATGTAGGGGCTATGCCTGGTAAAATGATTCAATGTCTGAAGAAGACAAAATCACAGAATCCACTGGTGCTTATAGATGAGGTTTGTTATAGACGAGGTTTGTTTTAGATGAGGTCTGTTTGAATTACAAGACTCAGCAGTTCTGTACCAGCTGTAACATTTATTGTAATGTTTGATTTGTAATGAGATTAGGAACACTGCACTATGTGATTTTTGAGAAGTGAATTATAGAGAAAAATTTTACCTGTTACAATTTTTTAATCTCAAGAAATTTATGACATCTCTTTAGTAAAAAAGGTCTACAATGCTTATAATTATATTCCATGTTACGTTGAACAGGTAGACAAGATAGGAAGTAACAGACTGCATGGAGATCCGGCTGCAGCGCTGCTGGAGTTGTTAGATCCAGAACAGAATGCTAACTTCCTAGATCACTTCCTTGATGTACCTATAGATGTGTCCAAGGTCAGAATTCCCTCTCTTCATGAAGTTTGAATTTTCTATGCTGCATTTTAAACATAGAATTTATAGGTTCCTATGTGATGTCATATTTCTAAATTAATGGCATTTTGATCAAATTGAAAATTACGAATAAAGGTCATGTGTATAGCTGTGCAAAGTAAAGCTATATATAAAGTAAAATTAAGATAATCATTTTAAGGGGCCATTTGAGACACTTGTCATATATTGCTCTTTACATTTCCAGGTCCTTTTTATAAGCACTGCCAATGACATTGAAACCATTCCAGATGCATTATTGGACAGAATGGAAGTTATTGAAGTTTCAGGGTACATTGCTGATGAAAAATTCCACATAGCACAGGTTAGTCTTATTATAAACAATGCTTTGCCAAGCATGGATTTATATATTTGTATTCTTTGAACTCATTGTTCTTTGATGTTGATGAAGAAATCTGTATCTTGTATAGGATTAATGATGTTAATTTTTTATTATTTTTTTTTTAAAGAAATATTTAGTCCCACAAGCTGAGACCAATTCTGGTATTGGAAGTGAACAGGTTCATATAGCAGATGAATCCCTAAAGACATTGATTCATTCTTACTGTCGAGAAAGTGGTGTCAGGAATCTTCAAAAGCACATCGAAAAGGTAATTCTTCACATCAAAGAATCATCAAAACTCATCAGTTCTATAAAAAATTATATTACTGTAACATTATTTTTAAATGATTTTTGCTTGAATCATATTCTGCATGCTGCTAGGCCAAGAATGATTAAATTTTGTTAACAGATGAAGTGTTATCTTAGAGCAAGTGTTAAGCAGGTTTGTACAGTCTTCAGAAATGCATGTTGACCTTGATTTGAAAGTACATGTATGGGTCTACAAATAGTCATTTTGTGAGCAAATTATTTTTTTCTCAGGGCACCTAAGTCATTCTCTTGCTTTCAAAAGAAAGCTCAAAACGTTTCATTCAAACGGAAAATTTTACCACTTCAATGCACATTATTGTAGATCTACTTTATGAGTTGTTACTGAGCACTAGACTAAGTTTTTATTTGATCCTGATCATCCTATTTCTCTTGCTTTTGGGCAACAATGTTTCATTGATCGGTTTATTTTATAATTCTATGGATCCTCTAAATTGTTGTATTATACTCAGGTGACCATTAAGGCCCTAGGGCCTCTTGTTCAAAGTTAGGCTTAATTTTATCCAGAATTTTTAGCTGATATACAATTCATTATTTCCAAAATGTTTGATGTTAAGATTGTTTAATGATGCACTTTATTTCAAGAGTTTTAACTTCAAAACTTCCTTCCCCAGATATACAGAAAGTGTGCCTTGATGATTGCTAGGAAGGAGAGTGAGAAAGTTGAGGTCCAAAATGACACTCTGCAGAAGTTCATAGGTTTGCCGATTTACCAGACGGACAGGATGTATGATGTCACACCACCAGGGGTCGTCACAGGGCTAGCTTGGACCAGTTATGGTACGATCATCCCATCCAAAGAAATCCTCTGCTGTAATTAATGAAATGTATTCGATTTTAACTCCCTTCTACAAACAAAGTGGAAGGGTACATAGGAGTCACCCTTCAACATTTCAGTCTTTGTAGCATCTGTCAATACTATGTTTTGTATGAGCCAATGCCCATTAAAAAAAAATTGTAGAAGCACAAACACCACACAAAAGTTGCTTATGACCAAAAAGTATGCCATTGCTCTTAACCAGATCATTGAACAAGGTCAAGGTGACAGGGTTTAAAAGTTTGAATATTCTTTTTATTATGTCTTAAAAGCCAAAACCTGATCCAAGGTTATTTTTAGACCAGGTTAAAGGATTTGGAAGAAAAAAAATCTTGTCATGACTATGACCTTTTAATGGAGAATGAATACATACTAGAATGTATCTGACACTAAAATGGAGGTTCACAGTTTATGAAAATATACACAATCATTCATGTAACTTTGTACTTGTATTCAAATGAAGGACAAATGAATGACCATGTTCATATGATATGCTCATGTTCAGTGAGTCCTGCACTCAGTAAGTTCATTGTGATAAAAATGAAATGGGGAAGGGAAGAATAAAATAAAATGACAATTATCAAGATGTCTAAATTTTGATTGGATGTCATATTAAGATCATTTAAGATGGACTTGTCAGTCCTTTTTTCATTTTTTTAATGTTGTTGCTAAGGAAAATAAGCATTTAACCCATATACCTTGTTTATTTCAGGAGGAACAACATTATATCTGGAGTGTGTAAAGGTACCCCCTGCTTCAGACAAGGAGAAGGAAAGCCCTCCCTCTATGAATGTGACAGGGAACATGGCCAAAGTAATGGAGGAGAGCAGTAAGATTGCTTACACATACTCCAAGACACTGCTGCAGGAAATGGACCCTAACAACGACTTCTTCCACAGATCTAGTGTTCACCTTCACTCCCCTGAGGTTAGTAATTACAGTACAGAAGTATGTGTCAGTGGTCAGTAAATTGTTATTATTATTACCTCTTTGATGTATGTAAGGCATTTGTTTTCTTTTGGCGCATCAAGCAATTGATGAATACTGATTTCTTAGATTAATGTGGTTTTACAGATGTAAATGATTGAGAAGCTTAAAAGATATTATAAATTGTTCTTTACTTAGCATTCCCACGGAAAATGATCAATATACCGGGATGAACATTGTCTTAGATTAATTTGGTTATACAAATGTAAATGATTGAGAAGCTTAAAAAATATTATAAATTGTTCTTTACTTAGCATGCCCACTGAAAATGATCAATATACCAGGATGAACATTGTATACCTTTATCATTAATTACTATTTTAAACAAGAATAATAAAAGAGAATTTGTGTTTATTCCAGTTATCATTTCAAGTAAATACTTATCATGTGTTATGTTTGCATAGGGTGCTACACCAAAGGATGGACCCAGTGCAGGTATTGCCATCACTACAGCTCTGTTGTCCTTAGCAATGGGTCGGCCATGCAGACAGGAACTGGCTATGACAGGGGAGATCACTCTGACAGGAAAAGTGCTGGCTATTGGTGGCCTCAAAGAAAAGCTGCTGGCAGTATGTATATTTTACATTCTAGATTACTAGAAGTTTTCCTCATTTTTTTCATGTTTCTATATTTATAATACCAAAAAAAAATTTTTTTTTTTCACCTGAAGTATTTTTTTCTGTTTGTTTCGTTTTGTTTTGTTTTTGTTTTTGTTTTTTTGTTTGTTTTTTTTTTTCTTTTTAGGTCACCTGAGTCACTCAGGTGACCTATTGCTATCTGTTTTCGTCCGTCGTCGTCCGTCGTGTGTTAACATTTGAACATTTTAAGCTTCTTCTCTGAAACCGCTGAACCAATTTCAGCCAATTTTAGCATATGGCATCTATGTGTAAAGGGGAACAAAAATTGTGAATTTCATGGTCCCTGCCTCCCTGGGGCCTGAGGGGTGGGGCTAAAACCACCAAAATTAATGCTATCTTTAAAAATCTTCTTCTTTACTCCTGGACATCAAGCAGTCAAACTGTTGGCATGATTGTAATAAGCATTTAGCCCTCTACCAAAATTTTGAAATTCATGGCCCCAGGGTCAGGGGTTCTGGCCCCAGGGTGGGGCTATATAGATCATATAGTGAAAGTGCATTATTTCTTTGAAAATCTTCTTCTATGCTCCTGGGTATTAAATAAACTAACTAAGTACATAGTTATGAAAAGCAAGAGTGCCTCTTCCAAAATTGTGAAATTCATGGCCCCAGGGTCAGGGGTTCTGGTGTTAGGGCGGGGCTCTATTGATTATATAGTGAAAATGCATTAATTCTTTGAGAATCTTCTTCTGTGCTCCTGGGTATTAAATAAAGTAACTAAGTACATAGTTATGATGAGCAAGAATGCCTCTTCTGAAATTGTGAAATTCATGGCCCCAGGGTCATGGGTTCTGGCCCCAGGGTGGGGCTATATAGATCATATAGTGAAAGTGCATTATTTCTTTGAAAATCTCCTTCTCTGCTCCTAGGTATTAAATAAAGTAACTAAGTACATAGTTGTGAAGAGCAAGAGTGCCTCTTCCAAAATTGTGAAATTCATGGCCCCAGGGTCAGGGGTTCTTGTGTTAGGGTGGGGCTCTATTGATTATATAGTGAAAATGCATTAATTCTTTGAAAATCTTCTTCTGTGCTGCTGGGTATTAAATAAAGTAACTAAGTACATAGTTATGATAAGCAAGAGTGCCTCTTCCAAAATTGTGAAATTCATGGCCCCAGGGTCATGGGTTCTGGCCCCAGGGTGGGGCTATATACATCATATAGTGAAAGTGCATTATTTCTTTGAAAATCTTCTTCTATGCTCCTGGGTATTAAATAAACTAACTAAGTACATAGTTATGAAAAGCAAGAGTGCCTCTTCCAAAATTGTGAAATTCATGGCCCCAGGGTCAGGGGTTCTGGTGTTAGGGCGGGGCTCTATTGATTATATAGTGAAAATGCATTAATTCTTTGAGAATCTTCTTCTGTGCTCCTGGGTATTAAATAAAGTAACTAAGTACATAGTTATGATGAGCAAGAATGCCTCTTCTGAAATTGTGAAATTCATGGCCCCAGGGTCATGGGTTCTGGCCCCAGGGTGGGGCTATATAGATCATATAGTGAAAGTGCATTATTTCTTTGAAAATCTCCTTCTCTGCTCCTAGGTATTAAATAAAGTAACTAAGTACATAGTTGTGAAGAGCAAGAGTGCCTCTTCCAAAATTGTGAAATTCATGGCCCCAGGGTCAGGGGTTCTTGTGTTAGGGTGGGGCTCTATTGATTATATAGTGAAAATGCATTAATTCTTTGAAAATCTTCTTCTGTGCTGCTGGGTATTAAATAAAGTAACTAAGTACATAGTTATGATAAGCAAGAGTGCCTCTTCCAAAATTGTGAAATTCATGGCCCCAGGGTCATGGGTTCTGGCCCCAGGGTGGGGCTATATACATCATATAGTGAAAGTGCTTTATTTCTTTGAAAATCTTCTTCTCTGCTCCTGGGTATTAAGTAAAGTAACTAAGTACATAGTTGTAAAGAGCAAGAGTGCCTCTTCCAAAAATTGTGAAATTCATGGCCCCAGGGTCAGGGGTTCTGGTGTTAGGACGGGTCTCTATTGATTATATAGTGAAAATGCATTATTTTTTTGAAAATCTTCTTCTCTGCTCCTGGGTATTGAATAAAGTAACTAAGTACATAGTTATGATGAGCAAGAGAGCCTCTTCCAAAATTGTGAATTTCATGGCCCCGGGGTCAGGGGTTCTGGTGTTAGGGCAGGGCTCTATTGACTATATAGTGAAAATGCATTAATTCTTTGAAAATCTTCTCCTCTGCTCCTGGGCATTAAGGTGATAAACTAAGTACATAGTTATGATGAGGAGGTGGCCTCTTCTAGAATTGTGAAAGCCATTGCCCCTGGGTCAGGGGTTCTGATGTTAGGGCGGGGCTCTATTGAATATATAGTGAAAATGCATTAATTCTTTGAAAATCTTCTTCTCTGCTCCTGGGTATTATTTAAACAAACAAAGTTCATGTTTATGATGCATAAGGATGCCTTTTCAAAAATTGTGAATTTCATGGCCCCAGGGTCAGGGGTTCTGGTGTTAGGGCGGGGCTCTATTGATTATATAGTGAAAATGCATTGATTCTTTGAAAATCTTCTTCTCTGCTCCTTGGTATTATTTTAACAAACTAAGTGCATGGTTATGATGCATAAGGATGCCTTTTCAAAAATTGTGAATTTCATGGCCCCAGGATCAGGGGTTCTGGTGTTAGGGCGGGGCTCTATTGATTATATAGTGAAAATGCATTGATTCTTTGAAAATCTTCTCTGCTACTGGAGATTATTTAAACAAACTAAGTGCATGATTATGATAGGCAAGGATGCCTCTTCCAAAATTTTTAAATATATGGCCTCAGTTTTTGGGGTTCTTGAGGAAGGGGGGGGGGCTCTATTGATTATACAGTGAAAAAGCATTAATTCTATTAATTAATCAGTAATTAATCTTGTCTGCTCCTTAGCGTTGAGCTGATAAAGAAATTGCTTAGCTATGATGAAAATGGGAGCTTCGAACAGAATTTTTAAATCTTGTGGTCTTAGGGTCAGGGGTCCTGGCATAATGGGGGGGGGGGGGGGCTTTTGATAATATAGTGGAAAAGTGTTAATACTTTGAAGTCCATAGTTATGATGATGAGGGTAACTCTTCCAATTTGTAATTTCTTGACCTTTGGTCTTGGGTTCTGGTGTTAGGGTAAGGCTTTGTTGAATCTGTAGTGAAAATGCATTGTACCTGTGAAATTCTTCTCTGCTTCTGGGCATATCGGAAGCAAACTGAGTAAAAGTTTAAATGATGTAAGTAAGCGTATTTCTACCAGATTTTTGAACATCTGGACCATTTGTCTAAGCATTCTGGTTCTGGGCAGGGCTCTATTAATTTGTATTCTACTGAGAGAAGTTACTCCCCTTTTCCATTCACCTTTGATAATTAATCACTGTAAATAATGTATTTGAAAGGTTAATAGAATAAGATAATTATGCAAGAATGTTTATTGTATAATTCAAAAAGTACTTTCTTAGTTTTAATAATCAGGCAGACATGTAAGTAATAGATAAATAAAAATGAGACAAAAATAACTTATCTTATTAAAAGTTCTTCAAAGACTATAAGAGAGGTCAATGCTAGAGGTCTTAATATGGGTTTAAAAATAGTACAGAAGCACTAATAGTTTGTCAATAGTCTGCATGGTGATAGTGTTAAGTGGGGGACAGATTAGAACTTAAAAGTTATGAGTTGATACTGAATACTAGACTTATTATTTTGTTGATCCTGATCTTCCTACTTCTCTTGCTTTAGGGCAACAAAGCTTCATCTATCAGTGTATTTAACTTCTAAATTGTTGTATTATACTCAGGTGACCGTTAAGGCCCTTGGGCCTCTTGTTTTTTTTTTGTTGTTATTGTTGAAGTTGTAGTTCCAAAGATTTTCTCAAAAGGTAAATGCAAATAAATATTAAGGCAACTTCAGTGTTGGAAAGCTGCGCATGTTTTTTCCCCTTTTCAATTTTCTTATGTCTGGTAATAGATTTTAGTCTGAGTATAATTGAAGGTATGGATGTGGGAATTTTCATAGATTTTATTGATATGGCATCTATAAAGTCAGGAGACTCAAGTTGCAGCTAAAAAAATGGTTCTCAAAGGCTAAAAAATTGAAATGCATTTTACTTCTTGTCCTGGGGAAACAGGATTATGACTATAAAATCTTATTTCTTCTGTGATTTTCTAGGCCAAGAGAGCTGGGATGAAATGTGTTATATTACCAGAAGAAAACAGAAGTAAATTTGAAGATTTGGATGATGCAGTGAAATCTGATCTGGAAGTGCACTTTGTGAAACATTACAAAGAAGTGTTTGATATTGCATTTCCAAGGGAAGGATCACAATCTTGATAGGAATATAGAAAAACACCGATCACAGAAAGTCCCCAGACAGACATTTATATCCAAACTCAAATAGGAACTAAGATGTGATATTAAGTTTCACTCTTTCACAAATCAGTGACACTGTTCCTTATCTACAGAGTTATTAAGAGTTGTCCAAAGCAACATAGAAAACAGCTTGGCATATGGAAACATGTAAGCAACATTCAAGTTGCATGGACTTTCTTAATGAAAAGATAGAGCAAAGAAATCATTAACTTTATAACTAAAGACTGCAGTGTTTTTTGCCCGAGATATTATATATAAAATATCTGTATATGTGTATGTAAATTATGTTCATGTTCATTAAATGTGATACAAAGTCTACCTGTATGCGCAATGTCTTTCTCATTCATTAAAACAATAAACTGAAAGCTATCACATTATGGATGATTTTAATCATGTATACACAGAGGCCAGATATACTATGTGATATACTTCTATAATTGTACATAAGGGCAGGGATGTAGAAAATACACTATGCAAAACCGTTTCTAAGGCTTCAAAGAAACTTGAATAATATTGAGATACATAAAATGAAAATTGTTGCACAAAAAGTTTTCAATTTCAGGCTTCATTTTGACGCTTTTTAAAATTAAATAATAAATTTAACAGTTATCCTTCCTGGCTGAGGAGTGGATATTCTTAAGAAGCTGTTGTCCATAATTTAAAAAGCCTGGTCTTTCAAGCCCATAACAACGGTTTCAAAAGTTGTGGAGGGGGGGGGGGGGAGGGCAAATTCACAGAAAAATCTGACGAGCAGAAAAAAAATTGAACTGACCAAAAGGGGGGGGGGGCTTCAAAAAATCATCTGACAAGGAAAAAAAAAGTCCAAATCTTGGAATTTGCCAGTGCTCGACCTTACAACACCAAAAAGTTGGGGGTGGGGGGAACCAGCATTTAAGGGAAAATTTTTATAGCAAAATACTACACTCAGAAAAAAGTGGGGAGTGCCCCCCCCCCCCCCCCCAGCGTTCTACGGGCCTTCCTTTTTTTATCATGGGGAATGGAATGGTTGTATAAAGTGTTGAAGTCATTCATTTTGATGCTATTGATTTTTGTAAGATACTGTGATTTCAAATTATGTAAAAGTTCTTTGAAGTTTTTAAGTATCCACATTTGATTAATACATGTATGTTGTTTCACAGTATTGCTCCAGGCACGATCCAGGAATTTTTCCAGGGGGGTCCACATCAACTATAACAGACCTCAAACTCGGAAATTTTTGACAAGCATAAACAACCTAACCAACTTCCCCAAACTTGGAAAAACTATTTTGGGGGGAAAGGGGAATGTATGAGAAGACACTTTCCTTCAGATACATAACTCTGCTTACCAATTTAAGAGGGGTCCATGTTTCCTAGGGCTGTCCAAGATCAGTTTTTTCGTTATTTTACATAGATTTTTAACTCTGAAATCCCGGGGGTGTCCCTCCCCCTCCCCCCCCCCTCCCAACCTTCTAGATCCGCGCATGTGCTGAAGTTTCTCCTTTACTGCTGATAATATTTTCGTGAGGAGTAAAGAGAACATTTGCTAGTCTTTCTTTGTAAGGATTTTATGAAATTTTGAAATCCAATATAGGTACGGTAATTCAAAATCTTGTTGGGATTATTGACAAATATTTAAATGTAATTTTGGATTTTCTTCCTCTGAAAGAAAATCTCTTGTAGAATTAAATCCAAGTTCCTCTAAAATTCAATTATAATCAACATTTATCAAAATCTATATCCGTCTTATCAACCCTAAACTCCAATATCAGCCCGATGGCTACTGTTGCTGATTCTTAATTATCATATTTGTATATATTAACTAAATCCTATTGATTTAATAGGATGTTATTTTCTTTCCAACTTGCATTTAAAACTTCCACATCTGTTCAATTCGTCGTTTCATATTGCTCTAGGATAATGGTATTTAGTCGAAATTCTAACATGGTGCGTAGGTAAAAACAACCAAAAGTTGATGCTTGGCCTTAAGAAATAGGAATTATTTCATCTAATTGAGAACAAAACACAACAATATCTGTAATTATATAAGAATCTCAGGATGTAAAATGGGTTTGAAGCTAGTTCATTAGAGGTAAGGAAAAAAGATGACAGTAGGTTTTAAAATTGGACAGTGTTGTCCTTTCCGACTTTTATTTCTTGAATAAATTCTGCACTATGACTGCTTTTAAATTATATATGTCAAAAAGGACAGTGCAGTTTATCTATTTGACTCGTTCTTTTTTATTATCTTTATTATTATTACTAAAATACATATGTATTCAGCACATAAGACCATCAACTGAAATTCAAAACATACACATAGGTATAGTTGCAAAGATATATATAATATAGGTATTGAACATTGGGGTGTAGTTCCTAATTTTTTTTTTTAATCTGTAGCCTTAATACACTGATCATTAGAGGACATGTTGACTGAAAATTTATTGATATTATTTGTTTGAAATTCCACCATAAAAGGAGGCGAGGGATATTGTTCACATTTGGTGTGGTGCATCAAGTCTGAGATATACCTACATGATGAATTTAAACGAGCAATTAAAATGAATATGGAGGAAATTTCATATCTGATTGTAAAATCTTTGTATCGGTGTAACATCGTCTCTCGGTTTTCATAAATTAAAAACTCGTGTGGGTAAAGAAATTTCGTACAATTTAGTCCTAAGCTTTTTTTCCCCATCCAAAGTGCAATAAATGAAAAAAATGCACGTATACGTTTGTTGCTGCATTGATCCAGTGCATATTTTTAAAGTAGAATTTAGCATATTGCATGCATAGTTATATCCATACATTTCTTTTACTTTCAGTGGAATGCTATGTGAAAATTCAGTTTTCCACCCCCCCCCTCCAAATTTCCCCCTCTGTTCTCTGAGTAGGACTTCCCCCTACCTTATAAAACTAAATTGTAAGATTCAGAGTCATTATAAACCACAGAACTATTTTTGTCTAAAAAATTATATGAATGTGAATTCTGAATTTTTTGGGGGAAAATAGTGTTCGACTGATTTAATTGTTAAAAAAAATTGTAAAATCGGTCAGCTGTACTGTAAAACTCGATATCTCCACAGTGGTACTTTATGTGTCACCAAATTTTAAATGTATATCGGCCATTTTTAATGATTTTACTTACTTGGTATTTTAACTACTTGGTATGTAGAGAAAAAAATCTTTTTTTTTTTTTTAAAAAGTCTGTGAGAAAAACTCTAAACTTTATATTATTGATTGGTTCGACATACCATCTTGTGAGCATTTGAGTGGGGTAATTCTTCGGTCAGTCTTGCAAAATAATAATAGTAATTGGTAAATAAATAGATAAAAAGGACTTGTGTCAATGGATAACCCTGGAAAAAATGAAAGTCCAAGCACCAACCTTTCAAAAGTTATGGTCAAGGTTAATGTTTTCTAAAAGTGGTTCAAACTCCAAGGTCAAGGTCAAAATTGATGGTACACAGAGGAAAACCTTGTCATAAGAAATAAACATGCAAAATATAAACCCCATAGCACCAACTGTTCAAAAGTTATGGCGAAGGTTAACGTTTATCAAAAGTAGTTCAAACTCAAAGATCAACGTCAAAATTGTTGGTCCGGTATTCAAAAGAAGGTCTTGTCATAAGAAATATTCCTGTGATATTTGAAATCCCTAGTGTAAAATGTTCAAACGTTATGGACAAGGTTAAAGTTTTTAAAAGTAGATCAAATTCTAAGATCAAGGTCAAAAATATTTACATCCATGGAAAGGTCTTGTCACGATGAATACACATATGAAATTTGAAAGCCCCAGCACCAACTATTTAAAAGGTATGGCCAAATTTAAGTTGGGTAAAATTTATGCATAAGTGGGTCAAACTCCAAGGTCAAGAGGTCAAATATTATGGTACCCAAAGGAAGGTCTTGTCACAAGGAATACACATGTGAAATATGAAAGCCATAGCTATAGATTTTAGAGGGGGAAGCATACAATTACATTTAATATACTGGTAGAGGGGCAATCTCTAAAATGTAACAAAATGGAAAATGATGACAGATATAATAATATAGGTATGAAATGTTAGGAATTCGTGTGTTATATATAGTTTATCGTATTCAAGAAATCTTAGAAGGTAGGGAGGATACCCCATCCATGCGTCAGGTGCCTATGGAAAATATGTACGCCGGAATTTTCCAGCAGTTTACTGGCAAAGTCAAGTACCACTTTAAATAACATCTGAAGTTTAATTCTATTATTATTTTTTCAGAAAATCAAGATGTCACTTTGCAATCATAGCAGTGAAAATTACGAATTATCCCTCAGAAGTCCCCAGTTTATAGTGTTCACATCCGTGATAGTAGCGGGTATACTGGGTAACATCATCACCTTGTTCGTTATTGTTATCGACAAGAAACTCTTCATTCCGTGTTATACGGGAATTTTCTGCCTCTCAATAGCTGACACTTTTGGAGGCTTGTTTCGTTACATGATTTCGTTTCCACATGTATTTACAGACTTAAATACCTGTAAATATCTTATAAGTATAATGGTGTTTACATCAGCTGCTGCATTCTTCCATGTTCCAGTTATTGCATACATTGGCTTTATTTACATTGGTAAACCATTGGAAAGTCTCACATTTACAAGCCGCAAAGTGTTTTACTTGTCCGGATTTATATGGATCATAAGTATTCTTCTGACTTCAGTTATATACATTACAAGAGAATATATAAGAACAAGCGATGAATTTCGCATCCTCAGACTTGTTTATATTTTCATAGTATTTTTTGGCGCCGTGGTACCAGTATTCATCTTCCATTTATTAAATGTAATACTTTTGAAGAAATCTATTTCACACAAGACTGCCGCACTGACCAAGCCTCTATCACTTATGTTTAGTCTTGTACTGATTTTTCATGTGATAAGTTTTACTCCGTTCACAATGATTCAAATACTGCAAATGGGACAAATATATTTGTTTGAGAAGTGGCAGGTAGGATCTTTATTTTTGGTGCTCAGCCATTGTGTTAACCCATTTATTTATTTTTTGTGCTCATCCGCCTTGAAAAATATTTTTCGGAACTGTTGCAAGAAGTACAACCAAAAGGGAATATGCCAAAGTAAAATTGAGTTAACGAAAATTAACTATATATAAATTTCAAACTGATTAAAATAAGATCCTCGAACCGTTACTTCTTTAATATTACGACAATAAAAAAGGAACTGATCGAGGATCTGATTTTAATCAGATCGAGAGTTGATGAAACATGAAGATAACGAACAGTATTCAGTTTCGAAAGTCCAATGAAACAATACAAATTTTAGCAGAGCAAACACGGACCTCAAAATTAGAGGTGGGA